ATTTCAATGAGAAATTAATTTATCGACATTACAAGATGGGCTATTTTGAGACACAGCTCACATCCTTCATATCCTCCAGCATTTTCAAGTATGTGTACATAACGATTTTTTCTGGTTCAAAAAATAGTATCGCATAACTTATACTCATTCTCATTTATCACGAAAGCAAAAAAGTGTCTACTACTTTGAAAATCGACTAAACTGCAGAAGAATTTAAATATAATATCGGATAGAGATTCACGCAATACTCCAAATTTCCTTGTTTTCACAAAAACTTCTTGATTGATATAAATAAAAACTTGACAATTCATAAAAGCAACTCCATTTAAAATAGATACGTCACTCTCCAAGCGAAGTTTCATGTGTGCGAGTTCATATTTTACGAGATTTCTATACATGACGATGTGGCAACATTGATTAGTAAGTATAAAAAGTGTTTCAGGTCATCTTCGACACTGGAACACTCGGACACTGGACTCTCTTTAAATGTTCTTGATGGTATTAGTTTGATTTGTTTAACCATTTGAGTCCCAAGCATAATTGCAAAACACTGTTCAACAGGTATTCAAACATCAAAATCGAGCTTTTTCTAAATAAGCACGAAAAGTGCTAGGTTTTCCCGGAAAAAAGTTTTGACAGCTTATCCCAGAATTAAAGTGAGGTGTAAGATTAATATGTCGTTGCTCTACTTAGTCCTCCACTGGCAACTTGGCTCTCTGCTGTAATTATTCTGATTATGCAGCTGCTTTTTTGTTCGTCGAAGTATCGGAAGCTATTATAAAATTAGAGTCATTTGCAGAAATTAAAATGAAGTAGAGCTACGGATATATACATATATAGTAATCCCTATTAGGTAATTATGTCTAATATAAGCCTCTTTAAAAATCCTTCTACAAAGCTGATAAGTAGCCTCATGAGACCAAACTCTGTAACTCAACGTTGAGTCCCATCGTTTGCTTCTCGCGAACCAGTTTGATTTTAGACCTGAAAACGTTGCTAAGGAAACCATTATTGCATTTATGAACACCAGTTTGTAATAGGTGACCTTCTTCTTCGTAAGCATCTTATGCTGTGCTTGAACACTATTTTGAATAATTCTACAACTCTACAAAATTTTATTAAAATCACTATGTGACACCGATACCGGCATAATTTTTCTTGTGGTTAGTAACTAATTTACTGTACAGTGCTATGTAATATCTAGGGTATCCCAAAATATGTAAACGAATATTTTTTTTTCATAACTCGTCCATGTCGTTGTCAATGGTGCTATCTTTGTAAAGTGTGTAATAATGTAATAAATTTATATCAACAGTGAAAATATTCTCGGTAAAGCAGCATTTAGCAAGTATATAAAATATACAGAACTTGATAAAAGAAATAAGCAGAAAAAAACTAGGCAAGCTTTTGTTGCGAATGTTCCACTTCCAAATCAAGAGATGCTGAATCAAATGCGGAATAAAAAATTAGCATCATAATAGCAGAATCACAATAAGATGATTCATTAAGATTTGGAACGAGATATTCAAGAAATACATCATTTTGCTCTTTGAGTTAGACGCTGCTACCTACATGGTAAAAGCAGCCTATAACTGATCGCAAGTAATGTTGGTCAATATGTGGTGCAATGCCTCGGCCGCAAGCGAACTTGACTAAACTCAGAACAAAGATTATTTGTATTTTGATTAATTGAATCAATTGGAAAGCTTCTAGGGAAGTACCAAAATGGATTCCGGCCAGGTACATAAACGACAGACCAAATATTTGTTCTACGCCAGATCTTGGAAAAGGGCGACTTAGCGGATAATTATTTTGTTGGTCATATTGACCGAGACGACAGTGAATGTGTTAATGAAAAAAAGAGAAATTGCTGTTCTAATGCTAATCATTAGGCAAAGCTTTCTTGTATTCTTTACACTGTGTCGTAATATAAATTAGCATGATAAAGTATTGGAAATCTCTATCTTACTCAAAGATCTATGACAAGCTAAATGTATGGTGAGGTAAAGTTTTTATCGAAGGAAATTTAACAGCTTATATGTATGAAATGCTACTTATAAATGAAAAAGACAACGCTCCAACTCGTATTGGTGGTATTTTTTGAAGATACTTGAAAAATTGAGAATACTAAAGTAACCTGAAAGTTTTGCAGAGTTAAGGCTACGAAATATCGTTGAATCACGATTAATTTTTCGAGAATCATGGAGGACGGTAATAGGGCTATTCCCTCATCGATTAAGGTATTGTTAAAATGACAACGCAGCACATTTTCAACACTTAATTTAGTAGGCATTATGTATTTTATCAATTCAATCATTTGAATTTATACAAATTAGTACGTCATAGCTGCATTAAAAAATTAAAGTTAATTAAGTAAAGTAGGATATAAATTAATTCGCCCTTTATCATTGGTAGTACGTAGAATGGTAAAATATAGAAACATGTTTTAAGAAACCAGATTTGAGTTTACAGTTGAGACGATCTATGTGGGTTCAACATATTGAATGACTTTTTAAGTGAATACGAAGGAAAGTAAGATTCACTGAACTACTGTTGTACAACTCTTGTCTTAGGTTATTTATACAGGATATGCGCCTTCTTCCTATACTTCTTCTGCACCATATGTTCCCTTGAATACCCAGCTTATTCTACAGGATTCTTCTACAACACCACATCTCAAAGGCTACAAGCTGGTCTATATTATTCTTCTCTTCAAGTGTCCATGATTCCATACCATATAAAAGCACTGGAAATACGTATCATTTTAGCATTCTAATCTTGAGAGGTCGGTGAAGGCCGTTACTGCATAATACATTCCTAATTTTGTTGAATACAGTTTTAGCCTGTCCAATTCTTAATCTTATTTTCTTGTATTTTTCATGTACTTGTATTCGCCGACCCTCATCACTAGCTTTCCTTTAATCTGTAGTTGTACTTTGTTGCTATGTTATAACTTTGAGATCATCATAAATTTGGTCTTCTTAGTAGCCAGTGTGAATCCTCTGTTTTAATTTTCTTCCACTACTCGATCCATTAATCTTTGCAGTCCTACTTAGGATTCTGCTGTAAATATGATATGGTCCGCGTATTTGATGTTTTTGATCGCCTCCCCGTTTACTGTCACTCCGATTGCTGTTTGCTCTGCCAAAGCTTCCTGTATAATGTTTTCTGAGAAAAACTTGAAAAGCAATGACGAGAGAACACATCCTTCTCCTCGTCCTTGCTTTACGTTACATCCTCTACATATATTCAAGCCACCTAATTAACGTAAAGATATTTTATTATTCTGATATCATTCTTATCTATACTTTTTTGCTCTTAGAAGCTTCATGAGATGATTGTGCCAAATCTTATCCAACGCTTTATTAAAATCCAGGAAGCACATAGATTGATATCCATGCATTTTTAAGACAATACGTTAAAAGCAAACAACGCCACTCTACTTCCCATTGCATTTCTGGAGTCAAATTGAGTTTTACTAAACTCTTGTTCAATCTTTCTTGATCGCTGTCGATATTTTAGTGAAGTGGTTGTCTCTCATCTTCAAACAGTTTCTGGATGTATTCTTTCCACCTTTCTAGTTTCCTCTTCGTGTCTGGAATTATTTTACCATCCTTATCTAGTAAAATACTGTTTCTATTTGCTCTTTTAATCCCCACTAATTCTTTAATCTATTTATGTAGATTGAAGTCATCATGTCTGGTTTGGAATTCCTCTATTTCCATACATTTCTCCCTGTGCCATTCTTCTTTGGCTATTCATATTTTCCTCTAGATATTCTTATACACGCTATCTTTGTTTTTGTACGTTCTTTGATTCCATCAGTCATCAAAATTTCTTCAGTCATCCATGACTTCTCTCTTCTTTTCCTTCTCGACTATCTCCAACAACTTAGCCATTTTACTTAGTTCTTCGTTCATTCTTTCTGTTAGATGTTTTTTTGTTAGGCATTGTGATGGTTGTTCTTGCGGCTGTTTGTTTCTTTAGTCAGACTTGTAATTTATCTACCACTAGATTATGATGTCAGATTTGTTATTTTTATTACTATTTTCTGTTTAAAAAACCTTCAATACTTTAAAATAGGATAAAATATTTCTGCATTGTCATTTTCTTTGTACAACATAACTTGTACACTTCATTTATATTAGCCCTGTATTAATATTGAATATAGGTGTTTGTTTATCGTTGATATTTAAAAACTTAACAAGTTCGCCGTTACTCGGTAATTGAGTATTTACGCTCGATTATTTGATTTTGCGTTTAAAAATAAATCTCCCGCAACAATGGGGCGCGGTGACGTGCACTCGATGGGGCGAGAGGACCGATACTCGCAAAACCTTTAAAATAACCGATTATATTTAAATCAATACCAAACGATAAATCGCCAACGTGCAATCGCCGCTCTCTCGTGTCGCTTTATTCAATTACTATACAGCGTCGCGACGCCCTTCCTCCCAATTTACCCAACTCACATTAGTACTTCGATTTTTTTAACCAATTTGAAACAAAAAAAAAATAAAACTTGTTTCAATAGTTTTAATTAAATTGTTTAACATTATCTGATTTATTTTGTTTTATTTTTTTTATTTTCAAGTTATGTTTTAATGTATGGTTGAAGGGAAGCTTAAAAATGTTCGGGGCCGAGTCTCAACGGTGCAGTGTCGTTCGACGTCGTCCGTTGAATATTTGACGAGAGACCGACGACGACATTTTTTCAAATCAAAGGGGGCCTCACGTCGCGTGGACTCGTCGGTATCTTTTTAAACATTTTACAGGCCAATTGGGAAATCATTCCGGGATCGGGACGAAAACGCTCTTCTTCTTGACTTAGGAGAACGAAGGACCGTGTCCTAGTCTACCTTCTTTTTGCTTATTGTCCTAGAATGTACTACGACTGTGGCCCCTTTTTCGTAAAGTACGGAAGTGACCGTTCTTCGTTAATATTAAGACGCCGATGTTATTTTTATTTAAAACTATGGGAATTCTTAGCCGGAACTTACCTATGATTACATTGTTGACACGCAAAACATTCCAAGTGATACACATTGCTTCTAGCCCTCATAACCATTTCGAAAGCAGGAATGATTTTGCTACACGCGGCACAATAACCAATATTACCAAAGAGTCTCAAATAGTCTCTTTTGCACAAAATCAAATTTGCTTTAGTATACAACGTTGAACCAACTTCCCCCAATCGGCAATCGCAACAACCACATTTCAAACAATCTTCGTGCCAATAAAGATCCAAAGCTTTCAATAGGAACCTGTCGGTGATCGGTTTACAACATCCGGCACACTCTTGAGGTCCCCCCGAGTTTGGTTTTGAGGAGGATTCGTTCTTGGACACATCCATTGTCATCATCGGGCCGTTCGCCCTTCGTTTTATCTGTAAACAAAAAAAGAGATAAAATAAATTGTATTAAGTTGATTGTTTGCGGTTGGGATAGGCCCAAAATGGGAGATTCAATTATAATTTTGATTAAGCTTCGCGAAGGGTGAGCTGACTGCGCTTTCTTTTCGAATCCCCCCATACACCCCGTGAATAATTAAAGGCATGGAAACTAAATACGGCGACCGGTCGTGCGGAGGGGGTGGGCCCTTTTGTAATTAACTATTACCCCGGGCACCCCCAAACCCCTACGTTAATCCTTTCCGGTTAAAAATCCAATCGATAAATTTAATTATAAGGGTTGTGTCTAGAGTCTAGACGAATCAAAGGAAGAAAGAAAAAAGTTATAAAATCAAGGAAAGTGTAAAAAAATGAATGGAATTTTCTAATTTCCCCCATATAAATCGATCGAGAGTGGACGTTATCAAAAGAGGGGTGGAAATAAATAATGTTAAGGCAATAATAAAATATGACCGGTCCGGTGTAACATACCTCTGCCAGTTTAATAAAAACGTCACCGGGTTCCGAGTGAATAGGAAAGGGGTGGCGACACCGGAAAACCGGGCAAAGGGGAGAGAAAATGCCAGTTGGAAATTGAAAAAGGAATCGTCCTTTCTCCGGAAAATACCCTTTTTTTATTACTATCATTCACTATCCAAGGTTTTCTTAAAACTATTAAAAAAAGCACAAAAATTTCAGTTTTTATTATTTTTTAAGAAATTTCAAATAACCTTTTAATAACAATTTTATTACGAATTAATCAATTAACAAACTTCTTAATTTCATAATAAACAGAAATTAAAACGTTTTTGTGCTTAAATTTTTCTAGACGAAAGAAAAGAATAGAAGAAAGGGAGGAGGAAAAAAACAACTTCATACTTGATTAGTAGCGTTAAATTAAAGTCGCTCCCCTGGACTTAATTAAATTTTATATAATGAACTAACTGGAGGAAAACGCTGAACAAAAATAATTAAAAACCCCGGACTGTACACAGTTTTCTGTGACAAACTTAATTAACGAGGTCGTTCTTCGGCTACTTGAACCCAAATATCCAACAAAAAAGGAGAAAACAAGGGGAGAAGAAAAGAAAAAAGAAAAGGAAAAGGGACTTGATTTAAAACCTCAAATCATTAAAACGCTTAAATCATTAAAAAGAAAAACTGAAATGCAATTAGAAAATCTTACAAATCGAAAATAAAAGTTTAACGGAATGAATCAACTTTACTAGAGGATGGGGAGGTAAATTGTAAATTGATCGCGGGGGATGGAGAGTTTCATTTCAGAGGGGGTTATACGTGCACTATACAGGGTGATATCTTAAATGAAATCTGCATGGTTTTACGAGACACGCTCTCCACCTCACCCCCAGGCGCAATTTATAACCAGGCCGCCTTGCGTTACGTCGATTTTTTCCCATTTCGACAAAATAAACCCCATCCCACCACCATCCTACTACAACAACCCTCTTACGAACTCGATTTCGTTCAATTTCCAACTAATTACGACGCCCTTTACGCGAAGTAAAACCTCACCACCCTCAATTCTCTCGATGGCTGTTCTTTTCACTCTTTTTATTGTCGAAAATGTTAAACAACTACAGTTAAAAGGTTTTCTCTCGATTAACTTAGGGTGGTTTTTCCAATTTCAATAAATGTTAAATCAATCATCACAAATCTTAAACAAAGTTTTTATAGGTTAAATCCAAACTTTATTTTTTGTATATACAACCTTTTTTATAGGTGTACATATTTAAATTTCCCAAAAAACATGAGTGTTTATTGTTGAAAAGGAATTAAATAATTCGTTGAATGTTGTCGATTCGATTATAAAGAACGATTATAATTCCGAGTAGTTTAAATTCAAAGTAATTCGTATAACCGCAACCACAGATGCTGTAACAGATCATAATTTCTAAAATTATATTGGTCATAGGGAAGCAGTCTCTTACAATGGAAGATTAATAATGGTTACTTCACCCATAAAATATTTTATAGGATACATTAATGCAATGACACATTGTTAAATAAATGAGATTACAGATTCATATAGGTGAGTCCAGATTGAAGGAGATTGCAAGCAAATTGCTTTTCGAAGCATTGCCTGAGGCTCCATCTGTGGGTAAAAGCATCATTCTAAAACTAGGCCCAGGAGGATTAAGGAAAGTGAGTAAATGAGCTTGTCATTAAGGAGTTATCGCCTAAATGGTTCTTCAAGAGTACTAATATGCCTCAAGTAATAAATTAAAATGTTTTGGTTAAGGAATTATATAAACCATCGATAACAGGAAGCCACTAAATATGCTAACATAGGAACAGAATAGTAACCGTCGAAATAAAAACGATGTGAGTTCTTCCACGAACGTGGGATGCAAAAGTATTGGGTATTTATCTATCTTTATGAAGTTTTGATAGCAAGAAGTTATATTAAAAATAAAAAACAAAATCTTTGCTAAAATCAGTATAAAAGATAGTCACGTGGAAATATTTCCAAGAAAAACTAAAGGTGGCAAACAATCTTTTGTGCTAAAATATTTATGCGAATTAAAAACATTTTTGACGAGGACTCTATATCACATTAAAGGAAGTGACAAAGATAAACTGGAGATTTTAATTATAATGGCAGGGATTTCGTCCGCTTCAAAGTCCTTAGCACTGTCAATCGCATCCAGTACCTCCTTCAATATCAAAGCAAACACCGCTCGAGTTAAGAGAATCGGCAACAACATCAGTTACAAAATAAATCTGTACAGTAGAGACAACAAAATCAAAAAAGTTTTAAAGACATAAAGGCACGAATGTCCTTGCCGATCTTTCTCCACTTCACAAAGGACCAAAAATGTTTTGTATGATCTATGATGTTTGATCAGCGTGATTAACATTGTTGTAATCACATTCGATAAAAGCTGTATCTGACTTCTTACTAAAGTTATGATACTCAACTTAATTTTCGCAGCCCTTTTATCTCCTATATTAGCCAGAAATACAATAAATAATAACTAATCCCTTTCCCGCCTAACAGTTTCTTTTCTACCCCTGAAGATATCTTAATATTAATGCGAAATATTGGTGGACAAAATAAATTGAGTTTATACCTGATGAATCTGCTGTTTTGATACCTGATCAATTCCTGGAACAACTTTTTAAGTCGTTGCAAACGGGATCGAACACTATTTAGTAACCACATAATCCAAGGTATATTACATATTATTTCCGATCGTAATATGCGCCTATAAACAAGCCAACACTGTTTTCAATCGAATTATCGCATCCAAAGGCATGGTCGAGCAGGGAGCTATCTCGAATGAATACCGAATATGCAATGAAGTTTCTAACGTAACGTATTTCAGTTAGCTTAGTTCATAAACCGAGGACATCCTGATCGTCACCACCCTTCTCTGGTAAGCCCTGTACTCTATACTGCTACGTCGATAGTATTGAGTTGGCAACCTGTTTCTTCAGTTCAGATAGTTCTCGGTGTTTAATTCATCAAGAATTTTGAATATTTCGTTAAGACACTGAACCGACAAATCAAAATCGGATATACGTTCATTGCACAAATGCAGAACAAGTCCTTGAAGCAAGTCCTCATAACAACTGTTCATTGCATGCATATTTGAGCCTATCTCCAAAACCAAGTCAAAAACCACATTTATTATAATAGCAAAAGTTGCTTCAGGTAAGAACTCCCGAGAATGGGAAGAGCACAATATTCAACAATTTTTTGGATTACAACAATTCCACAGACACATATCCAGACAGAGCACAACCGCCGTCATCTTGCAAACATCCATAGATTTAGCATGAGATCACGACAAGTATACCCCTCACTGCAAACCTGAAGATTTTCCTTACCTTCTTTTTGCAACGCCCACAATTAAACTTGTTTACTAATAAACAAACTTAGATTTTTAACAAGCTCTACTAACAGCTTGTTAAAAATCGAAGGAGTTATGGGACCGTTTAGAAAAAACTACAAATTTAGAAAAGTGCTATGTTAGGATAAGAATGTCGTAACTAAAGGTACTATATGAGAAGAAGCAACACTACACAACAAACATATTTTAGAAAGGTAAATGAGTAAATTTCGTAAAGATTTCAAGCTCCAACAATCCGATGATTGAAATACTATAACAAGTTGTAGAAATGTACAAGTTGTGGAACGTGATATATCACATGAAGATAGACAGAATTTTTAGAAACATAATTTTAAATAAATCTATTTTAAAAGGGTTACTTTAAAGTAGACATCAACTTTCTAGAGATGAATCTATTATCACTCGAGGGGAGGCCTAAAGTGTAGGTAGTATATAAAGAATAAGAAGCAATAAATACAACATAACGATGTATGTACTCATTTGCATACTTTGGATATTCTATTGAAAGCGTATTATAAAAGACAACGATTCCCATACGTTTTCGGTCGCAAAGAGTTACTTACTATTAATTAACCCTTTCGTTACGGAGTATTTTCAAGATCATATAGCAAGCCCACATATACAAAAACGTATGCGTACGCTCTTAGTAACGAAAGGGTTAAGACTATTTGGATAAAGGGCATGAAATTTAATTTGATACAATATTAACATCAGACAAGCACAATTCAAAAGGAAGACGAAACATATGTGAACTGCAAAATTACAAAAATATACTCGATACAATTATTATAAATATTAAAAAGGGCAAATATGCAAAAGAAAAGACGCAGTGAAATCACAGACTGGAATGAAAAAATCGGTGGCTACAACCAGAAACGTAAAATAAGTAACAATCCTCTGATCTTGTTCTCGCTGACTGTAAGTACATGTCTCGGATAGATAGAGAGATGAGACAAGATGATACTATTCCATATAAAGAAAAACTATTAGATGGAACAGAAAAATGGTCTTTTATCTGATTGCTATGCCGATTACAATGCCCACTGTATATATACAACTCTACCAGATACAACTAAAATTGACTTATACAGATCAATGGAAAATATTCTGTTTCATCCAAAGACACACGTTCCACTATCTAAACGATTTATATTGTTTCTTTTATATCAAAAGATAAATCGATGAAAAATTGTCATCAATGACTTTACAAGAATCTGGATGCCAGTGTCTAACAAACCCAAGTTTGGGCGTACATCCGTGCTTCAAAATGTGTGTATTGATGTATTAGTATATACTATAAGTACTAGGATATACTAAATTATAAGCTTCCAGATTACATTCTAAAGTACGAGAATAATTCAGCATGTGCAAGCAAGGTGCAACTTAATCCTCTGTTCTTTCGTAGTACTTATAAGTACTACTTACTAAAAGTTTATATTATTCCATGTTTCAATGTCATATCGCATCTAGTGCCACCATGATGGAATCAAATAAATAAACATTATTGCAAACATCCACTAGTTATTTTATAAGGTAGGTGAATGAATAATATAATTATTACACTCGATAATAATTTTATTCCCTCATTTCATCGATTTCAAGCAATCTTAAGAGTACATTGTTATTATTTTGTTGTATTAATGGTCTTACTGATGGAAAACTTTTGAGAGAGCCAAAAGATGTATAAAATAACCAAACATTTCAATGTAAATGCGTCTAGAATAGTTTTGAAACCAATGCAGAAGAACTCGGAGGCTATAGAAATTGTTGAAAAACTGACGAAATATGAAGTAATTAATTGAAATTAATCTGAAGTGGAAAAAGAAATTTTTTACAATAAATATTTAAGATTATAACTCTAAGACAGACTCTATTACTGGAGTGTTCCACAGTTAAATTTGTTACAACATTTTTTAGCACAACTTTAGATAACATTATTTTACAAAGAAAGCTATAATCTATATGGTCCAACGAAATAAAATCCTAAATGTAAAAAATTACTCAATTTATGGACTATCATGTCTGCCTGAAGACATTGTTGCTCATACAAACCTGATATTGAAGTATCAGTAGTGAAGTACACCATGAGTAAATTAAGATTGATTTGACAAAAAACAAAGGCAAACTTCATAAATTTAAGCCAATGATAGAAAATGGGAATCCAATTTTTAATCCATATTAGAAAGGAACCAAAAAATGAAGTGTATAAGATCCTACAATCGGGTGCAAAGTCTATCAAACATGGTTATAAAATTTGGGTTGTATTGGGTTGCGTACTTCTGATTCAAAACTATATGCATATGTCAACCACGTAATAACAAAGACAATCAACTACAAGAATTTGGACTTGTGAAAAATGTAATGCGATCAATGAACAATTGCAACAATCAAGATAGAATTTGATTATCAAGATGAGAGACGTAAAGCTTTCTGGTATACAATTATTAGAATGAAAAAAGGGATTCCTAAGAATTTGATTAAAGATAAAAAGTTGAAGCATGGAGATTGTAACTACAAATTTAGTTAAAGATTTTTCAAATGAATAGACAGCAAAGTCGTACAGTTAGCTAGTTATTTTCTTATCAACGAAAGTACTGCAGCCAAAAATTCTATCATTTCAAGCATATGGAAGAAGCAAATCTCGCAAGCATATTGCATTATTTAATACGTATTTTATATATTGTAATCTCTTTGACTAAATTTCTGCAAAATTTTGCTGCTTGAAGTAGAAGTAATTGATTGCAATATTCCTCATCAACATAGCAGCTCGTAAAAGGAAAACAAAAAACTTTTTCTGATCCTGCAAATGTAAGAGAAACTGTAACATATAGCATCTCACAATTCAGTTTTATATATAAATAGTAATGGTAGGAATAATTATCTATGAAGCTAGTATGTGGGCGAACAAGGCAGTGTAAGTGAAGACATTGTAACGATTTAACAATATGAAGAGAGGTGTCAACGGACGGTCTGTTAGCTATTACGGGAACCGATTGGAAAGTGATGTAATGAACAACAACATACTGGATCTAAAAATAAGTGTAAAGCTGCTATTGTAATTATTTTGTGTTGTTGCCAAACCCAAAATAGCTACTAGAAACACTTTAATGAGAAGCTGGCCCATACCGAAATATTTATCTTTATCTATTGTGAAATGACACTTTGATACCAATGTGCTGTCTAAATGAAGATATATTATCTTTAATATCATTGCATTCTTGAAATACATAGTTTATAAAGATCCAATATTTGTATTTAAAGTTTGTTTTGGTTGGTTTTTTTGAACATTAAAAACTTGACCAGAAAAATATTTTAATTTAGCTTTTATACTAAAATTAAGAAATTTTTACGATTCAACCACCGATAAATTCCAAACTTATCTTAAACGGGAAATTGAAATTGAAATGAAATCGCCCAATAAAATTAGCTTATAAAAGGATAAATGGATACCCTCCAATTTCGAGACGATTTACAATCGTGTTTTATTATGTCTGGAAGGATAAATTTAACCCTCTACAGATACATTTTAAGTACCGCATAACAAAAAATGTTCTGGTTTAAATTGAAAAATTTTAAGAAAACCCAATAAATCGAAACGAGAAAATATTTCTCCCTCAATTCACGAAGGAGGATAAAGAGGGAGAAAAGGAGTATTATTATGGTTTTCTTTTTAGTATTATTTGATTGGTTTCAAAACCGGTTAATTGGAAACCGGAGGATCGCTTCAAAACCTTAATTACCAAGCAAGGGATTAATTGCGATTTTTGTGGTTAATTAATTTCGGTGTCCTAATTGGATCTCTCCACCTTTTTCAACTCTTTACCTATATTAATTACGAGAAATTATCGAAGACCATCTGTTGGAATAACCACTGATAACTTATTACAAACAAAAATAATCTCGATAATAATTAGAAAAAGCAATTCCTCCGGGTTTTCAATATATAATTATTTTTTTCATTTTCGTTTTCTTTCATTTTTATATTTACGTAACACGAACGTTTCATTTTAATTAACCAAGCCCCGTATGTTTTGCCATATAAAGCGTCCGAAGCCGTAATAAAAAAAACTATCGTTGCTTAATTACCACTTCAATTATTATTTATGCCGTTTTTAATTCCACTTTAATGTGAAAATGGTCAATTTTCGTTTTCATTTTTATATAAACGTTTATGACGCGCAAATTATTATTAGTATTTTTTTTCCTTTTAATAACTACTTTAATTGGAAAATCAAAACAGATATATCATTTTTTTGATTAAAAAATAACATAATAAAAATATTCTGTGATGACGTGAGAAGACATTTTAATTAATAATAATTACTTCATTAAAAATGATGAAGATAATAATAAAAAAAATCGTTTTTGATATCTCAAACATATCTTTAGATAGTTAATTAATAAATTCTTACTTTAAACGTATCTCCACTATCCTCTTCAACCTTCTTATTTCCACGAAAACCCCCGAAATGATTCTTTTCCATAAACATTGCTAACCCAAACTCAAAAAATCTTTTAAAAGTCGTTAACACTGAAAACCTTTTTCAAAAATCTTTCAAAATCATTACAAAAAACATTAACAAAAAAAGAAAACTACTCATTCAACATGAAATTATTTAATTTTAATAAAAGAAATCACTAAGAATCACTTTGAGACACTTAAAATAGTTCGAGAGGGATCAAATTTGAGCACGATGAAGACTATCTCTTCACTTCGAACGTCGGAGGGTAACTGGCGTTGACTCTCGAAACGATCGCCGCCGCGGCGTGTTGTTTCCCCTTCCACAAGTTGGTGGATTGCCGCCGCCGCCACTGGCTACGGGACTCTGAACACGGGGGCTTCTCTCCGAAAATTCTCCCCCGGACCCCAATTCCGACGATTGTTGAGCCGAGAATACGGGGCCTGATTCGAGGCCCTCGATTGTCGGCCTCGATTCCGCTTTAATTAGGGCCGATTGTGCGGACATTGCATCGATAAATACCGGACAATTACCGGCGAGAAAGAGAACTCCGGGGAGGACAACTTCGCTGCTCGAGAGAGGCTTGATTGAATAAAAAAACCGATTGAAAATGAAAATGAAAAGAATTTAAAACGAGCTGAAAAAAGTTAGCAGCCCTTTTTGAAGCAAAATTGAAGGTCACCAATTTGTTTCCTATTGTTATTTGATTTTAGCTTAGCCAGTTTCTTTTAAATCAGGTAGAAATATAGGAATTATGAAACGATTTTCGATTAAAGCATAAAGTCTGTCATTTCAATTAATTGAAAATAAAGGTAAATCTTTCTTTATAAAGACTCAGAAACGCAAAAAAGCTTTTCACAATTATACATTATGTACGGGTTTTACCCATGTTGATGTATTGATTAATAAAAAGGATTTAATTATTGAAGACCTATTTAAGATTATCTATTATTTACGCCAAATGGATAATTAAATAACATTAATACTGTCTTTTTTATCTTAAAATGTATTAAATATAGAAGCGTAACGATCTGATATCTCCGCAGGTCCATTCAAAAGTGAAAAGTTCAATTATTCTGCAAATTCTAACTGTGATGTTTATGGTAATTCAATGCAACTTACTAATCAATAGTATTAAAGCAACTAATGATGTTAAAAGCCGTCGGAATACAATTTCCTGAGCTTATTCTTCGCGTGTCTTCCTGTACCTAGTTCTATACCCTGTCAGTTTGGATATTCCTTCCATTCTGTATCCACTAAGACTTCCCAATAGGATTATCCTTCTTGGGTTCTTGCAAACAAATTATGTGTCTTGCACATTTTAGACTGACTTAGATTTTTTTGACAAGCTCATAGGTATGTCGACTTTTCTTATGTTGTATGCTTTGTATTGCAATGAAACAGCTTGTTTGGTATACTATAAGACCTTAGTAACAAATATAACAATTTGCAAGGATGACAATGGATTCATTTTGAACAAAACGCTGGAGGTGAGGAGGAGATAGAAGGAGGAGACGACATTCGAAGAAACTGTACAGACAATAAAGGAATTTAAAAATTATAAAGTCCCTGAAAGGATGCAATATTTGCTGAAATATTGAAAGCATCAGGAGAGAATTTGTGGATATATCAATTTATACAGAAAATATGGTGAAATGAAGTACAAAGGCATCACACTCCTAAGTACCACCTATAACGTGCTGTTACGCTTCATATACCAATCTTTTGAACTTGAATTCGAACGAAATCTGGAAAAATATTAAAGTGGATTTAATCCAGATTGCTCAATTGTAGATCACATCCACACTTTGTGGAATATACAACAAATTCTTCGAATATAACGTGGCCCTTGCTAAAATAAATAGAAAAAAATACTGCAACACCATGCACAACTGATAAGAACAGAAGCTGATAAGCGTGATAGTTAGCGTGAACCAACTGAACCATAGGAAACTGTCAGAATTCATGGAGAGAAAGACAAATGATGAAAACAGAAATATGAACCGATAAAAGATGGTATGAAAAGATGGTAGAATGTGGTTAATAAAAAAGAACCACAAATTAGACCAGCTCATTGATGGTGCAGGCATAGTAGGATACAGAAAAACCAGTGAGTAGCATTGTTGGGACATCTGAAAAGGATGCAGAGAGTCAGAAGAGTGCATAGAATTGTAAAGTGGGTACCATAAGGATAAAGAACTAGAGAATCACCAAAGAAAAGATGGAAGGATGACGTGATGGAAGATGCTAGGATGGTTGGTGTTAAAAACTGAAAGCGTGCGGCATCTTACAGAAATATCTGGGCTTAACACTAGACAAAAAAGTAACACACAACACATTAATACGACACTACGCAAACCTAACGTTAAGCTCGGGACTCTCTACCCCCTTCTTAACAAATTCAACAATCCAAACCGAAATAAAAAAACACATCATCAAATTTTTCAACCCATCAGTGAAAAACCACTCCTACACTTCCCACATAGGAACTACAAACACTACATAAATTTCAAACCCACACACAGACTAACACATCACATACTCTTATAATAAATTCCCACCATCAAAATTAGATACTGACAAAGAAACTTTTTCTAGGACACGTCACTAATCGCCCAATTATTGTTTTATTCTTTAAAATGTTTTATTGTAAGTACGAAGTCTTTCACAGTCGGTGTTAATTAAACTAAAACTAGAACTAACACTAGACCTAGAACTAGAAACGTTCTGGATAAGCTGTGCGTCTTTTGAAAAAAATTTTGACGTTTCGGATGCCATGTTGCAACCTTCTTCAGAAATAAGTTCGAAGTGTGTCACTTCGAATTTGTTTCTGAACACAAGTTCGAAGTGTTTCACAAAACAAAATATTTTATTTTTTGCATCTTGCAAATCGGAATGACCCGTATTGTGAGATATGCCAAAGTCCACAGGGACAGAATAGATACTCCTTGCCAAATTAGGTGTTACAGTTACGAGTTGTCTTAGTAAAATTACAAAATGATTCAAAAATTTCCAACTCCGTTATTTGTTCAAATATAGAAAAAATGATCATACAAAAGCATGACTATCAAAATGTAAAATTGGAACAAGCACAAACAAATCAATAAGTTAACCTGCAATTCACGTGGAATACTATTTAATTTTAAACTGCGTACCCACACGCATAAAAAAACACGGGATAGATATTAATCGGACGAAAATTCTTCTTCATCATTACTATTACATTGTTAATCGTGTTTGTCTTTAATCTATCAAGAAAATGTTATGATATTATTAAATGGAGGACACATAAATTTGTGCTACTTCACTAGGATTTAAATGTAAGCATTTTCCTTCTCATCTTATCCATTTCAAAGTAGTTAGAAATTTATTTCCTAAATTAGCAATTTTTGGTTTGCGATAAGTAGCTCTCACGGAGTTTTTTTAACTGAAGCAGGTTTGTCTTATAATGACCTATGTACCTTATAGTATGCTGTATTAATTAAGGTAAGTTGATTGCATAACATTAACATATTCCAACTATGCTCATTGAATATATATTCTAGTTCTCTTGTAGGATCTTTGCACTCTGGAACATATTAACACATATATTTTGTGCAGTTTCACATATTCTATTACTGTCTTGTATTTTTTTCATTGATTGGATCATTATTCCATATTCTCAATCATCATTGTATGTTTGGGGTTTTTAGTAGTTTTGCCTATATCAGACAGTGGTCTCAAGCAAAGTTGGCTTGATCATATAATCACACATTTATCAAAACTTATGTTCAACAAATGATATTCTTATTCTTTCTTAGGTCTTATCTTTATATTTCTGAACATAGCAAACATAATCAATCTGAATCCATTGTTGCATAAAGTTTAATGTAGCCTGTGTTTATTGTTATGCAAACAAACAAACAATTATAAAAAATGATTGCAATTTTTTATCACCAATTTTTTTTTGTTTAGTTTAGTCAGGAGCTTTATTAACACCTACCAAGTGCTTTACCAAGTGAGGAACTTATATATTCAGAGAATATATGCTACTCAGAGTGTGTTAAAGTAGTGCAGACAATAGTGTTAGTGAGCTCAGTAATATTTTTCTTCGAAGCAATAATTCATAACGAAATTTTAGACCTGGTGGATGGCAGTTTCATTTGGGAATTGTTGCAAATAATATCTCAGACCATCCAGTATATTACAATGTCACCAATTACTGTGCGAGATTTTTTGACCTCTTTCAGATTTTCTCTTAAGATAGTCTATGGTTTATTTTTTTTTCAAACATTTATGCAACATATTTTGATGAACCAGAAATGTTGGCAGACTTTGTGATGGAACTTTATGTATTAAAATGTAATCTTTATCAGTTCTCTAAGTTTTGTTGGTATATTTAATAACCTTCATCAGCAGATATGAATAGGAATAGATTTGATGTTAAGACAGGAAAAACTATTAATTTTAACAAAATATGTTAAATCAGTTCTTTGTAAATAAGGAGAGTTATAGTTTAGAAGTGTGATGATAAACGCGACTGTAAGATTTACTGCGATATGTGTTTCATATATTTTAAGGTTTACCATATTATGTTACCATATATTATTGAATATTTATCATGAAAAATATTTACTTCACTCGAGTCAGGCCAGCAAGCTTTTTTAGTATATATCATGATACTGGGGAAATTTTTCATGGCTTATTGTTTCGATTCTGGTAGCGTAGGTCTAATTTGCCGAGTAGGTGGCAACATGTATGATATGAAGAGTTATTTTGAGACCTGTAATATTTTCTCTGTGCTTTAATTATTTCTCAAACTACTTGGGTGATGATGTGAAGCTTTTGCTATTTACGGATGATGAAGATTGACATTGCTGGTCACCGGCTACAATTAGAAAAGGCTTGCATCCGCTAAGAACAAGTTTGTAACTTCAGCGATTGTGTGAACTCCTACTACGACTATACTTATGATACTCTCATTGTTTGGTCTTGGACAGAGATGTGCTGGTGACTTGCACTCTGCCAATATGTTAGGGTTAACGGTTGTTTTTCCCCATTTAAGATTCGAAAATCAAAAAATATTTTCCTACTGAGCATATTTCTCGACTG